TGCACAGTTGTTACTGCACAGTCATTTAGTGCTTGCATAACCCAGTACTAAATGACTGCACAGTAAACAGTGCTACTGCGCAGTAGCATCCCGGCACAGTTTTCTTCTGATGCCACTGTGCAGTAGCAACAAGCAACTCATTACTACTTTGCAGTAGTACAAGTAGCTCATTACTACTGTGCAGTAGTGTCATGTCATGGTTAGTGCCCCCCAGTGCTACTGTGCAGTAGCGTTTTGTGTTGGTGCGCCCATAGGGTCCCATACTTTTGGTTAAGGCAGTGGTTCTCAACCTTTTTAGACTTAAGAAACCCCTGGATATACTGAAGGCATCCCTGGATAGACTCATGGCATCACTTGAAAAATGCCAGCTCTTTGTTTTCACTCTTTTTTTCACTACAGAAAAATAACAGAAGTTTTTTTGTTGCAAAGAACTGAGAAAGACCACAGCTATGGATTTCTATATGAAATCTCTGTTTATCTGGTGAATCATGTCTGTATACCTACTAGTGCTAACATTGCATGGCAGGTACACTGTGGCACGCTTGAAAGGATTTCAAGGCACCCCCTAGGTGCTGTGGCAACCTGGTTGAGAATCACTGGTTTAAGAGCTTTCAGCAATGAGCTGAAATAACCTTTTAAACCCATTTTGAATAGCCATGAAATAGTCTTAACAGGGGAGCATACATGCTATACCTGCCAGCCTGAATTCAGAGTGTCACTATTCACTGGATAGCTCTATGCTAGCAGAATGGTAGTGAAAGTGCCAAAGATGGTGGGAAGCCTGTATCTGGGCCACATGTTATAATGTTTGCTACATCCAAGTTAGACAAAAATCCCTTTAATTGGGTGGAAGCTCCACCCAAGTAGCTACTAAAACCCTGATTCTGAAATGAATTCCACACAGATGGTCCCCTGTATTGAATCCCGCTATCTTCCATGAGGCTTTCTGTGGGTGCAAGCATCTGCTCTCACACAGCTCACTGTGGGACTAGCCTCCCATGATTAATCTGGCTAAGACTTTGCAAGTGCTCAATGTGGGGAAAGGATGCACGGGCACAGCCCATTCTCCTGTATGCTTTTGCTCATGGACCATTGGGACCAACGATCTTGTTCCTACCTTGTTCCCTTATCTCCCAGGGTTTCTCAGTGACCAGGAAAATCTGCCTTGGTAGCAGCACAAAAAAAGGAGAAAAACAGAAAAAGAAAAAAAAAACAACACCGGATAGGGGGGAAACAAAGTATTTTAGATATTTCTGATAATTTTTAATAACAAATGAATTTCAGGATTCTTATTCCACGTTTTATCTAAAATTAGTAATATATTTTTCTGAAAAGTACCAACAGGGTCTGTGGGTGGGTGTTATGCTGAAATAGCAACCTCTCCTACTTTTACCATATATATATATTTTTTTTTTATATCAAACCTTCAGGACAATGATTATCAGCCAGGGTAGGAGGGACCCGTGGGGTGCCACAAAATCCTTTGAAGGGTGCAGCAGGACACATGAGGAGATAAGCAGAAAAGAGCAGATTCAGGCTCTCCCTGCCTAACTGCTTCCCCACTCCCACTGTCTGCCCCTTTTGCAAGAAGATACATTTTTGAAATGAGGTGCTGTTCAATTCACAAAAAATATTCAGGGGTGTCTTGAGTCTGTCATGGGGTGCCTTGAGTCTAAGAAGATTGGGAACCACTGTTTTAGAAAAATGGGTTACCATATTTTCTCACAAATAACACGTTCCCCCCAAAACAGCTGGCAGATATTGAGGGTATATAATACGTGAGAAATATGGCAACATCACTTTCTGCTGCTCATGGATGAAACTGAAGGTAAAATCTGCAGGATGCAAAAGGGAGCAGAACCATAAGCAAGCTTGGTTCCCTACCTGCTGCTATTGGGATACTTACTATAGGGGAAGATCTTTTCTTCTTCAGTCTGCCTTTCAAAAATAAGGTGTGTACTTTGACTGGGAACAAAAATAAGGTCTGGGTCATGTTACATGCAAGAAGGTATAGTATATTTCCACAAGTTTTCCAAAATTGCTTTGTATTTCATAAAATTAATTTTGTTTATTTTATTAGGCATAAACAAATAATGGGTTAGCTCATGTAATCCTGTGATGATCAGTAGAGCTTTATTCGATTACAGCAGCTGAAAACTTGACCCAATCATTTTGTTATTTTTACTGAGAGGAAAATTAACTTTGTATATCAATGTAGTTTGCAATAACACTTGAATTGCTTGGTACTGATATTTTTCTTCCTCTTTGGACACACACTGATATCTCATTGCTATGTTATTTGACAGCTCAGTGGTCTTCAGCTTAGTTGCTCTTCATGGCATTTTTTAGAGTGTCTCCAAATAATTAAAATGAGCTGTGTCACAACCCAAGGGTGTGATTTTTGTTTTGTGAGTGCTTCGGCACTGCTAAATTGTTCCCGCTAAATTGCAGCTTCTTTGCACGGTGGAGTTTTCTGCTGCAGAGGAAAGCCCTGGTGCAAAAGAATTCCCGCCACCAGTAGCTTTCTTTGCAGGGTGCATTTCTTTGTTGCAGCACAGAAATGCATGTTGCAAGGAGTTCCCGCCATTCGTATTCAAATTTGTGCCCCACCATTGGCTAGTTCTAAATTATTCCCACGTGGCGGCTAGTGATTGGCTTGCTAGCCGTATAAAAAGCTTGAGTGGTTTCCGCCCAAGTTGGAGGACTCCACGAACACCAGGAGGAGGAGACTTCACGTCTCGTGAAGATCTCTAAGCGCTGCGGAGCTTATTGGACCCAGCGTGAATATCAAGAAGGCAACAGGGGTCTGATCAGCCTCTAGCCTCTCCCCGTCACCGAGCGCAATCCTTGACGTATCCCTCTTCCCTGCGCGCACAAGTTCCACGGAGCCTAGCAAACTTCGTGTGAGTCTATTCAGCGCTCTTTTCTTCGAGTACTTTCTTCGGTTGGCGCGACGGGCTTGCGGTTTAGAGCCTCCAACCAGATGGGCTAGAAGAATGTTCACGGGAAGGAACTCTAGTCCGCCTCTCTTCTTTTCTATCTGTAACTGCAACTCAAGCAAGTTTTCCTGCCTACACCGCGACCATCTTCGGTGTAAGTAAATAATCTTAAATCAACCATTACGCGTCCGTGCCTAATTCTAGCGTGTCGCCTGTTTTCTCTGACCCAGCGTGCCTGGGCTGCTGGCCACAGCCTGCGCGGCACGAAAAAGGGCCCGGATCGCTCCCGGCCCGCACAAGCTGTACTAAGACCTTTGCAGATGATAATCCCTTCCACTAGCCTGCCCTCATAGATACTTTTGTCACTAAGATACATTTGTAGAGCATTTTATTGTAGAAGAACCCTCTAAGGTTAATAATCAGTAATCAGCTTTGCAGTTAGTATTCTAAGCACCTATAATGGTGAAGAGACCCCATAAGAATTAATTCCAGAAGGGCAAATGATGATTACCTGAAAAAACAATTTATGGCATTTTAAAGAAGCATTGTTATGTCCAGTGCCCTTTGGACCTCTTTCAACATACAGACTCTGGGAACATTTATTATTTTCCTTTATTTTTTGTTGAATTTGAACACAACAAAATATTCTCAACTATCAGTTTGCATGTAATAGGCCTGATTCTAAAAGTATTCTGGGTCCTCCTCATTGTTGTCTTGTGTTTCTTTTCTGTCAGCACAGAACATAACACTGGGTGCATCTACACATGCATTTGATCTGGAATCAGTTTACTTGCAAGTAAACTACTTACAAGTAAACGCTCCCAGCCAGGTGTCTACACAGGCAGGGAAGCGGGAGCAGATCTGGGTGCTAGCCCAGGGGCTGGGACATGGTACCCTGCCCCTGGGAGGTTGCCTGTTGCCGGGGCGGGGACAATGTCCCCCTGTGCCGGCAGCAGGGAGGTCCTGGTCCTGGATCCCTGATTGGGGGCAAAGGACTTGGAAATTGCTGCAGGGAAGGGGCAGGTCCCAGCCCCCTGCTCCATCCACCAGTTGGGAAGCTAGCAGCTTGTTCACTGCTAGCTGCCCTACCAGTGGATTGGGGCAGGGGGATGGGACCTACCCCACCCCTGCAGCTCTTTCTAAGTCCCATGCCTCAATCGCCCAATCAGGCACAAGGCTGGGACCTGCCCTTGACCAGGACAGTTCCCAGCCCCTGCTCCATGATTGCAGGATGGTGGCTGGGGAGCCTGTTTCCTGCTGAGCTCCGTGAGTGCAGAGCTGGGTAGGGAACAGGCTGGGGAGCTTGTTCCCTGCTCAGCTCTATAAATGCAGAACTAGGCAAGGCACAGGCTGGGGAGCCTGTTCCCCATCCAGCTCTGTGCTCATACAGCCAACCTGTTCCCACCCAGCTCCATGATCACAGAGCTGTTCAGGGAACAGATTTCCCAGCTCCCCACCAGCAGGGAGCTCCCAGTATCAGCTCCATAGTGGCAGGATCAGCACTGGGAGATCTTTATCTCCCAGCCCAAGCTCTGCATTCGTGGGGCTCGGGCTGGGAGACCCTTATCTCCCAGTGCCAGTTCCACAACTGTGAGGTGGGCGCTAGGATATCATAATCCCCCAGTCTGAGCCCCTCACAGGGCTCGGGCCAGAAGATAAGGATCTCCCAGTGTCGGCCCTGCAACCATGGAGCTGGTGCTGGGCGAAAAGGAGCTCCCAACTCCCCTCTCCCTGATCTTGATGGTGAAGCTGGGGCTGGGAGATCCATAAGAGCTACTGGGCCATTACTAATCATGAGTAAATTTGCTACTTGCATTTGCAAGTAGCAAATTTACTTGCAATTAATGAGGTTTACTGTGCAGTAAGCATGTGCACATGTAGATGCACATGCTTACTGTGCAGTAAACTACGCTACTTCACAGTAAAGCATCTTGTGTAGATGCTCCCACTGTTACATATCTTCCCAACATATTCTGCATGTAAAGTTACACCAGTTTGGGGCAAACTTCACACATCATGTGATGATAATTACAAATTATGAGCAAATGCTTTCTTCTAACACTGGACAAAGAACTTTATTACAATTAGAAAATTCATATAATCATTAAAGCATTCTTCTTTACGCTGTCTCTCTGCCTTCCTGTAGACCTTGTGTCCAGAAACTTTTCCAGCCCCTTCTTCTGACTGGCTTCATCCTACGTAATTAAAAAAACAATACACTTATGCCTCTTGTTGATGAAAAAAGTCATATCCCTAACTGATGTCTTTTATAACATGCCACATAGCTTTGTGGAATGCTTCAGTGAAGGAGCAGTAGTATGACATTTCATTTAGATTTTGCAAGACACAAAGAAAATACATTAAAAAATGCTGGTGTATTTGCTCATCTTGATACAAACAGTATTCTCTATTCAGTCACATTCTCCCGTACATGATGTCAAAAAATTACATAAAGGTAAGACTATTTCTAACTTGGATTACTAATTTCCATGGAACTTTACTTGGACAATAATAAATTATTACCTAATCCCATATAAAGATTAGCATAATTCATTCACTGATTTATGTACCCAGAGTTCTCAAGAGACTGGCACAGATTTTCATAAGATGTAAGAACACATGATTTAGGAATTCTTTCTTCAGTGACTCAAAGGCTCTTTGGTATTTGTGCAGGAAAAATTGCTTTTTGTTAGCCAATATAATGATGCTGTCTGCTCTACAAACTATTATACATATATCTTAGAGAATCTGCAAAGACTTCCATACCACCGTACCTCCTCCAGGTATATAGAAATTTTCTGGTCCCTTTTAATGGGTAGTTTCTAGGGCTGTAACTCTAATCCAGATTCACAAACTACAAGACAATGGCACAAATGGAAAAAAGTGGAGGAAAATAAGTAGCTAAAACAGCGTAGTAAGAAAAGAGAGTATTAGGATCCAAATTCATAGAGTAGGCTAGAAGGGACTTCCAAAGGTTATCTAGTCGTAGCCATTGCCTGAGGCAGGATCATCCCTATCCAAACCATCCCATACAAATCCATTGTCTTAGCAGAACTACAGTCAGTCCTGATAAGCACAAGACATGTCATCCTAATCTGATACAGGTAAAGCAGGGGGACCATAGCAGCCAATGTCCTGCTGCTGCAAAGTTTGTTAAAATATGCTTGAGAGATCCAAGGGAAAGGACCAAACAGCCCTGCACAGTCCATACCAATCTGATCATAGGGTAAAATTCTTTCTTGATCCCATATATGGCAATTGGACTGACCCTGTGTAGAAAGATAAGACCCTCTAGCTAGGAAAATCCAGGTTTAAGTCCCAGCAGGAGCCCTGGCACACCCCAATCAAAATCCCCATCCTTGGCTGCAACCAACACTCAATGCTTCTGAGGAAGGCTTTAAAAAAACCCTCTAACACATGCAGCAGCAGAAGGGGAAAAATTTCATCTCAGCCTTGTGGCACAAGCAAAGTCCAGAAGCCTGGGAAAATCCCATAGTAGAACAGGCATAGATACTCCTGGATCATCCCTGACCAATGCTTGTCCAGTGTCTTCTTGAACAACTTCAGTGATGGAGGGTCCGCAACTTCTCTATGCAGTCTATTCCACTGCCTCACTGTTCTAAGAAGTTTTTCCTCATATCCAGTCTAAACCTACTTTGCTACAACTTAAAGCCATTGGTCCACATCTTACTCTAAGCAGCAAGAGAAGAAAGGTGTTTTTCCTCTTCTTTATGGCAGCCCTTCAGGTATTTGAAGACTGTTTTCATGTCCTCTCTTAAGTGCCTTTTCTGCAAGCTGAACATGCCTAGTTCCCTTAACCTCTCTTTATACGACCTGCCTTCCAAGCTCTTTATCATTTTTGTCACTTTCCTCTGGACCCTCTCTAACTTCTCCATGTCCTTTTTAAAATGTGGAGCCCCAAAATATGCTCTGAGTACATCTACATGAGATGCTATTGCACAGTGGTTACTGAGCATTTATTTAGTACTTATTTAATAAAGTACTAAATAAATGAGAGTTACTGCACAGTAGTGCTGGCAAATGCCTTTGTAGTGACACTACTGTGGAGTAGCCTAATAATACTGCATGGTAATGTATTAGCACTGTTTGTGCTGTGACATGCTACTGCACAATATTATTCAGCTACTGCGCAGTTTGCATGTCATGTAGATGCACCCACTATATTCTAGATGAAGCCTAACCAGTGCCGAGTAGAGAGGCACTATCACCTCCTGCGTCTTGCATCTAACGCTTCTATTGATGCATCCCAAAACTGCATTCACCTTTTGTGTAGCTGCATCACCATGCAGACTTATATAGAGTCTTTGATCTACCATGACTCCCAGATCCTTCTCAGCAGTACTGCCATTCAGCCAGGTGTCACTCATTTTGTATTTTTGATTATTCTTCCCAAGGCGTTAGCTCCAGCCCAGCTTTCCTATCTGTCAAGATCCTTCAAAACTGTGCTTATGCCTTCGAACATGTTTGAATTCCTTCCCCGCATTATGTCATCTTCAGACTTAGTCAAAAAGCTCTCAGTTCCAGCATCCAAATCATTAATGAACACACTGAACAGCTGGGCCCAGGTGAGACCCCTGTGGGACTCCACCTGAAACCTCCTACCATTCTGACATGGATGCATTTATAACTACCTTTTGCTTCAGGCTATTGAGCCAGTTGTCTATCCACCTTATAGTACTTTTGTCCAGCCCATATTTTGCCAGTTTGTAAGGTCATGTGAGGAGTCCCACCAGGTTTCCATACTCCCTACTAGGTTGTTATGCCCACTGGAGAGTAGGAGGGTTAGTTCCTCCTGCTTGTTCCTCATGCTCCTGGCATTAGTGTACAGGCACCTGAATCCTCCTATTGACCCCCGGCTTCCTGTCATGCTGAAGGACAGCTATTCCTTCAGCTTCCGCAAGAGTGGCTCTCCAAGTGTCCCTATCTACGGAGCTTTCTTGTATGTCAGGCCCTGGACAAGCTCCAGTCAGTGTTTTCCCATCCCCCAGGAATCTTAGTTTAAAGCTCTATCTAGAAGATAAGCCATCCTGGCCGAGATCAGAGACTTACTGCTCTGTGGGAGATGGATGCTGTCCCTTCCCAGGAGTCCTCTGTCCCTGAAGTGCACACTGTGGCTGAGGAAGTCTCTCATTCAAATTTCGGTGTTATCTCTTTTGTACTGAAAAATGCAAGTTTCTTTCAGTAAGAAGGATAAATAACAAAACAAGAAAGCACAAAAGTAAAATTTCCAGGAGAGGGCACACAGCAAGTCTCTTATGCAACTGTCTACACAAAGAAGTACCCCAAATGGCTACAGAGAACAGTCCCTAGGTTGACAGGTGCAGTGCTGAGAAAACAAAGCTATAGTACTAGCTAATAATGACCTTCAAATATGCCAGAGGCATGCTTGAGAAAGCTACTCATTAGATCTGCTTGGTAGATTACATATCAGTAATAGGCTTTATTTAGATAAGAGGTATCAGGAATATTCTGAGGTCTTATTGGCTCAAAATAGCTGAATCTGAATATATGAATTATGATATCTGCTAGAGTGGGAACCTTTTACTGTGTAGGTGAGCTCAGGAAGAGTGGTGTGAGACCATCTGTTGGCAAACAGCATGCTGACACATGCTGTCAAAAAAAGTAAAGAAATACATTTCTGATCAGACTTTGCAAAAATGAAAGTGAGACTTTGCAAAAATGAAAGTGAGACTTTGCTTGTGGAAAAAAAGGATCTGTCACAAAACGGTCTGTGTTCTGTTGTGACATTTTCCCAGAATAAAAATGGTGTCACACAGCTCCTGACTAGATAGCTCTTATTTTTGGAATTCATTGCCAGGCAAGACCACTCAAGTGCAAAGCTAGGTGGTTCTGTCATGCTAAAAGCTACATGCATATGCTGCTCTTAGTCCATGCTTGGCCATTGGTGGGGAGTGACAATAAAGAGACTGAAGGATGTGCACTTAAATGCATGTAACTCATTAAATGAAAAACACCAAACCACCAGTTCCACGCTTCCTTAACAATCTGTTTAAAGTGCCCCCAAGTCTTTCTTAACAACTAAGGGTCTTTTTCAGTTATGGACTGGCATCGAGTCCCTCTCTGCTCATCCTTGCTTTGGTGTCTTTGGGACTTTCTACAGTTCCTAGCCTTGGCAGTAACAGGGATAAGACAGCCAGCTACTGTGCTGGTATAAGGAACAGAATCAGAGGCCTGCACAGTTAAATGGGAGGCCTGCAGAGTTAAGTGGAGCAGCAAAAGGCTAATAAGTGGAAGACAAGGCAGGTGCAAGGGACATCTGCCAAGCTATTCATCGCCTAGTAGGAATACTGACATCTATGTCCTCAAAAACAGGCAGCAGTAATGACAAGTACAACCTCCCTAGCTTGCTCCCAAATGCCTCAGCTCCTTTGGAAAAAAAAGCAAGGAGCACCATTATGAGATTCAGTGTCTCTGGATATTGACCACTTGGATTTTGATCTGCCCTAGAAGGAGAGAAGAAATGGGTCTTGGGTCTGGCCAGATGTTCTCTTTTTCTTCCAGCATCCTTCTGAACAAAGGGGCCATTTCCTCTCCTTTCTAGATAAGTTTTGGTCGGCTCTTCCTGCAGCCACACCAAATACTCTTCTAATGGGTAGAGTACTCTCCTGTCAGCTGAAAGAAGGAAGAATCTCTTTGCATCGAGTCATTTTTTAAAGAAGTGCCTGCTCACAATACAGAAAGACCTGTCTGCTAGACTTATTTCTTTGGGATCAACTGAGTTAGTAAAAGAAATGTGCAGAGTATTCATGGGCTCAGGTAAACAGCTTCAATTTATGTGTAAAACAAATTAAACACATAACAGTAAAAATCAGCATGAAATGATTTTATAAGTGTGGCCATGGTGCTTGAAATGAAAGATCCAAAGAGAATTTTTCCCAGCTCTCCTGCAGACTCTATTTACTTTTATCTTAACTAATCATGCTCTGAATTGCTGACAACAAAATAATTGAACCACTGTCCCTGTCACATCAGTGACTAGTTCATGCTTTGCCAAATCTCACAGCTGAGGTTGGGTAGTACAATTGTGACAGTGTTGATTTTTCAGTATAACCGTATAGAGTGTGGCATGAAAATTAGGGAGCCTAGCTCCTTCCCTGCTCTCCAGCTAGGGCAATCATATTATGTGTGTGGGAATAGCCTGCAAAATTTTCTCATTCTCGGTATAACTTGACATCCACCAGATTGACTGAATCCACAAGGTCAAGGTAACAGAAAATCAGATCCCCAGAGGGTCTAGTTAATGAAAAGGGAAAGAAGTAATTTGTAATGCAAGGATAAAACATGGTGTTGATAACATGTTTCTTTCATGATGGTATTAGCTGTATAGATAGTGGACTTCATTCTCACTTATGCAATGTGAATAAAGGAGAAGAGAAAACTGACAAGTTATTAAGGAAATTGTTGGGGATGCTAGATAGTTTCTTGCAAAGAAAGGGCATCATAGTAGGTCATCTAATTTACAGCTCCTTCTGTCATCCTTTCCTCAGGAATTCAAGGCACAGAGAACAGAGTTAGAACAGGAATGACACAGAGAAGTTCAATGGAAGAAAAACAAAGAGGAAGTATGCAAGTTAATTAGTGACCCAACTTGGCAATGACAGCAGCTGTGCTTCAAAGACAACAGAAGCTTCTGTGAATGATTAATACAGCAAACAAGAGATGGGGAATTTAGCTCAGCAAGAACAGGGCAGATTAGAAGTGGGCTGTGCATATGTTGGTGGCAAAAGAAGAGAAGCTTGCTGTCACCCATTCTATGGCATTTCACCTGTTGTATAAATACCATTGACTAAGAAATACTGTTCTGTAGGTGTGCTTCTTGAAGATACATTTCCTTTTCTAGAGCCATGCATCCTGTAAATGCTCAGCTCCATCTGCATGGTAATGAAGCAGTAATAAAGGTAATTTCCAGAGCACTTAGCCCCATGGTAACACTGCCAACGGACCTGTAGAGAAGACTTGGGGAAAATTAGTGCTTCTGAACAAAATAATCTACTGAGTAAACTGATATCAGAAAGTGATTCTGATAACATTGGCTAATCTTGGAGCCAATGTTAGAGAGAGACTGCTCCAAGGAAGTAGCCATCTTGGAACAAATTTTCAAAGGCACTTCAAGATACAGAGAAGAACCTAGTAAGATTTTCAAAATTGCCTAAGCAGCTTGGGGGCTAAGTGCTTAGGCACCGATTTGCATGTTTGGGTGCTTGAATACTTTAGCAAATCTGGTTCTTTCAGTGAAAACAGACCTCTGTACATTGATGAAGATGAGGGAAAACTGTGTGGGCACTAACATACATATATACACAACCTGATTCTCCTTTCAGTTGCACCTGTGTTAATCAGGAGAAGCTCCAGAAAAGCCGGTGGAGGTCTGCTGATTCTAAGCCAACCTGAGAGGAAAATGAGACCTGCACTTTTACTGCTGGATTTTTCCTTTTTCAGGCAGCTATATTGTAGCCTTTTCTTTCTGGCATTTCACATATTCAAATGTATGAGTTAAAAATGCATTCTGATAAATTCAAGAACATTTGGCACTGACTTGAAACTACCAAACTGAGCATGTAAGTAGCCTAGTTTAACACTTCATGTTATGGTTCTTCCCATGCTCCCACCCCCTGTTTCATCCTATTGTTTATTACACTTACTTCTTGCATTCTGCTTGAAATGAGATGGAAAGCTCTCTGAAGCCAGGAGTCTGCACTGTGCACAGGAACTACAGAAATAGATCACAGCAGGAGTTAAAATGAAATACATCTAGGAAATCACATAATATTTACTAAATTGACTGATTTTACAGCAGCTAAAAAGGAATTAGCCTAATATATTAGCTTTGAGGTTAAGAGTGAGAGGTGTTAGGGCAAAGGGGATCTGAGGAAAGTAACATTTTTTTTAATTAAACTTCATAAGAATAACAGTAGTCTCCACAGCTTTTTAGAGTTTAAGGTCAACAAGGGACCATTAGATCATCTAGTCTAACCTCCTTTATATAGCCTAGGCCATTGCCTTTTATCCTGGGTGCCTCTACACTTTCATTAATGCCCTGTAGTTACTGAACATTAAGTTTAGAACTTGAATAACCAAGTACTAAATCAATGCACAGTAACTCGCATTATGGTGCAGTAGTGGCAGCACATGGGGTTTTTTGGACGTTAACCATGCAGTAGCCTAATACTACTGCGCAGTAGCATATTAGCATGGGTTTTGCCCAGCGTACTACTGCACAGTGTTATTAGGCTACTGTGCAGGTAGCATCTTGTGTAGATGCACACACTGAGCCTAATAACTTGGGTTTGACTAAACCAGGGGTGTCAAACTCATCAGGGTGTGCAGGCTAGAGGAGAGGTGCAGGACTGATTCACTGGCCAAATCAGACCCACAAATTGGCTCCACTTTCTGGACCCAGCATGTGTCCTGAAACAGCCAGTGTGGGCACCATGTGCTGCCCAATCCTGCTCCAGCCACTCCAGGGTGTCATGAAGAGAGAGAGACAGTGACGGCACAAACCAAACACTGGCAAGAGCCAATTAAGAAAAGGAGGGAGCCACGTTTCCGAAGCAGCTGGTCGATGAAGCTAGAGAGGACCTGGATAGAGAAAGAGGGCAGAACAGCCCCAGATAAAAACAGGGAAGGAGGCAAGGCTTGCTGGAATGAGAAAGGAGCCAATTGGGAATCTGGGGGTGAAGGGGAGTGGAATGCTAGCCGTCCGGGGAAGCCGGAGAACTGCAATGAAATGGGAGATGCTGACATAGCATTCATCGTCAGGAACAATCCAGAAGCCGGCGCGGCTTCAAGAAACAGAAGAAATGACTGAGTCCTACAGTACAAAGTAAAACTGTTCTTATATTTCTTTTCAAGTTGTGAGTCAGGCTAGAGCAACATTTTAAAGAAGAAATGAAAAAACAACTGAAACAATAAGCCTGATATTGTTTAGAGACTTAAAGGGGAAGGCACCTTTTTTTTTTCCGTTGAACCGATACTCTTAAAAAAAAAAAAAAGGAAAAAAAAGGAAATTAGGATTGTTGAGCTGGAAGGCCAAGAAACTAATTTTTTTTTCTGATTTCTGATCCTACTGTGTGATGCTCAGAGAAGTATCTAGGACATAATACTTACCTCCACTGAAGAAAAGGTTGACCAGTAGCTTGAAGAAAAGGCTCCTGTCACTTCTTTCAGCCTAGGATATGCCAATACCTAAGAAATAAGAGAAACCAATGTAAAAAGTTTAGATAGATACCTAATAAAAGAACCTTATTATAAAGGACACACTGAGTTTTCATCTTTTGTCAACCAGTTAATTTTTACGAGAAAATTCAAAATCAGAAGGGAATTGATCAACAACCCCTTTTTCCAGTGGTGTTTAAGTTGTACCCTCCCGGTATAAATCCTTTAACATCAAGACATGGCAGATGAGATCTGGGGTCAGCACTGAAGAAAAAAAGAAGAAACGGGGAAAAAAAATCAGGTTATTAGAGATTAATCTGGGCAACTATGTTTTGATTGAACAAGAGACTAGACAGAACCCCTCACACAGGGGTGTGCTGCACAGAGCAGGCACTCTGCAGGATGTGGACTGAAGTGGGTGCTGTGTGCAGCACATGGGGCCATCTGCCATGCCAGTCATGCTGTCTGTGGGTCACTCTGAGACCTTCAGGCAGCACCAGGATGATACAGATCTGCAGATTGTACCTTTGACACCCCTGAACTAAAGCATTTTTCAAGAATGGCAGCCAATCTGAGTTGGAAGAAATGAAGAAATGAAGAATCCACCACTTCCTGTGGTAGTTTCTTGCAGTGGTTAATCACCCTCAGCATTAAAAAACTGACTTGATCTGTCTCCAGTTTGCCGCTGCTTGTTCTTTTATGCTTTTTTGTTGGATTAACATGCTCATAAATTCTCCATATTTTCTCCCCGTAAAGATACTTAGATACTATTAAAGTCATCTCTCAAGCTTCTTGCTGATAAGCTAAACAGATTGAACTCTAAATCTCTCACCCAACACATTCTCTCCCACATTCAGAACATATTTTGTGGTTTTTTTTCTGCACCTCTTCCAACTTTTCAATGTCGTTTAAAAATGTTGACACTAGAACTGCATTAAGTATTCAAACACAGGCCCTTCCAGAGGTAAAACCACCACCTTACTTCTGCTAGCTGTTCCCCAGTTTAAATATCTATAGATCACGCTAGCCCTTTTTGCCACAGCCTCATGCTGGGTATTCACATGGAGTTGTTTGTCTGCTAAATCTTTTACCGATTCACTGCTTGCAGATCTCAGAGTCACTGCTTTCCAGAATACAGCGATTCATTCTGTGGGTATTGCCTGCATTCTTTGGTCTGAAACGTATGACCTTGTCTTTGACTCTATTAAAATTCATTTTATTTGAATGGGTTCAGCTTACTCAGCAATGTAGCTCATTCTGTCTCACTCCCCTGCCCTGATCATTATTTATCACTCTGACAATTTTTGTATAAACCACAGATTTTAATCATTACTGATTTTATATTTACTTATAGCTCATTGATTTAAAAAAAAAAAACATTGAATAGTGTCTGAAGAAGTATTGAGGCCACCAGAAATGCCCCACCCAAGGGTGATTTCCTACTGACAATTTCCTGTTGCACCTTTAGATCTGTTATAACCAGTTCTTAATCCATGTAATGTGAGTTTAATCAATACGGACCTGTTTTTCACAAAATGTCATTAACTGCTGTTAATTTTACTCCCATCATTTTATTCTTTGTTAGTTGAATCCCCTATCAGCTTTTCCATTATTTTACCAGAAACTGAAGACATGTCAACTGACAATTAACTAAAGTATCTCCTTGCCCTTTTCAAATATTAGTCTAATGCTAGGACTTTTCCAATATTCTTGTATTTCTCTGGTGTTGTAAGATTTAACAACACCAGAGGTGGTGATTAAAAATTAACAGCAGCAAGCCACAGATCTCTACAGCCAAATCTTTTGGGGATCTTGAGCGTTGATTTGAAAAAGCTTTTCCTAGTAGGTGAGATTTAACAGCCTCCTCAGTTATGAATGGTCTGAAAAGCAGTTTATTATCCTGATGGGCTATAACAGGGGCCAACAACATTTTTGGCTGGAGTACCAAAAACGCTCTAACCTTGATCCATGTCTCAGCTTAGCATTTCTGGGGCAGATGGCAGGGAAGCATTCCTGGGGCAGATGGCAGGGAAGCCGCGAGGGGACGATCCTCGTCGCTGGCGGCAGGTGCATGTGTGCCTCTGCGTGGATGGCGGGGGAGGAGCCAGGGTTGCACTGCCCTGGCCCCTTTACCAACATTTGCCCAGAGGTGTGCGTGAGGCCACCACCAATGCCAAGGAGACAATGCCAGAGATCCAGACTTTGGGGGCAGCTGTTTGCAGCCTTCCAGTTGCCTGCCACAGTCGACCCTGACTCTGGGCAGCTGCTGTCTGCATGGAGCCTGGGCTGCTTGCAGCAGGGCTTGCAGCTTCCCAGCTGCCTGCTGCAAGCAACTCGGCTTCTGGGGCCAGTGGCAGCTATCCAGAGCCTGGGCTGGCTGTGGCATGCCAAGCAAAATGGCCTTTCGGGCCATGCTCTGGCACATGCTGGGGGTTTCTGATCCCTGGGATATAGGGATATCATCCTGCTTCATTCCAAATACAAAACAGAAATATTTATTGGATGCTGCTATGTCAGTATTAATAACATTACCACCTCCATCTAATTAGATGACCAAAACCCTTGAGAGTAGTTCTGTAAGATGGGACTAATGACACCAGCCTCCTCTGAAAGCACTTCAAAACATTCTGATTAAAAGATCTATATGAGATTATGATGATTTTTACTGTTGCTGTTATTGTTATTATTATTGCTGCTACTGTTATTATTACAGCTGTTATCTTTTAACAACTAAAGGATCTAGCCTCTTGACTATTTAAGAAACTCGATTTAAAAAGTTTTTACACTTTGCATAAATAAATTCCAGTTGGCTTGTGGGTTCAGAGGTCCTTCTAGTCTTCAAAAGGAGGATGGCATAGCTGTAGGAAAGTCATATTGAGCCTGAGCCAAATCCTCATGAAAGGAAAAGAAAAACTCCTGTTTTCTTCCATGAGGTTTTGGATCAAGGCTGTTATCACAACCTGAAGAAGAAAAGTAAACTGAAAAGAACACATATCAGTGAAAGAGAAGGGCAATCAAGGTGGCAAACAAGTTAAAAAGTATTTATAGTAAGCTGAACATAGGCATGTTATTAAGGACCAACTAAATGACTCTTATTAACCTTGATGGACTTTTGACAGGTCCCGTATTAAACTGGACACAGTGAAAGTAATTTTCATATGAATCCCATCTATCAAGAAAATCATTGCTTCTTTCTGTTACACTGAAAGCGATTCTTCTGTGTGAAGTGGCTGCTGAGTGGGACAGGGACCTCCATGTTGGAGCCTTTCATTGGGCTTTTGATCAGGCCTAGAGCTAAACTCCTGTTTTCTGGCTTGAAAATGGAAAAAGTGCACAAGTAACAAAGGAATGTACTCTAGTTATTCATGAATTATTAGCTTTAAAGACAAAGTACTAGAAGCAAGGATTAGAGCCAGCGTGGGTTACTTAGCCACCATCTTGAAGGCTGAAAGGCAGTGATAAAGCAAAGAGAGGGACTGTGCTTTAAGTATAATTTCTGCCCCAATTTCTTTGCCTACAGGGGGATTGATGTAAATTAAAGCCACATTAAATGCACTGGCTTGCTTTTGGATTTGGTCTGGGACTTTGCCTTCATGTGAATCAGAGACTTCAAATACAGCACAGATCAGGAGCTGTCCAGGTCAACACTGGAAGAAGCTGTTTTTTTAATATCACTTATAAAGCAAAACCAGAGGCTTCTTTAGCTTTTTTCTAAAATCATTGAGCAAGGGTAGTCAGCTTTAAGAAATACAATTCCATTGCATCAAAAGTACTAGTAAAAATATCTTTCCTGCCATCTATAACAGTCCCTCGCAAGCCAAATTCTCAATGGTTGTCAGGTGCTGTTACAAAAGGAACTACATCTACTGTAATAGCAGAATCTCATCCTTGAAGAGTTTGATCTGGTCAGTTTCTGAAGCCTCATAAAAGTCACCATAGATGCCAAGATACTATTATGATGCATGTGGTACAACTCCCTAGAGCAATGGGGGAATGAATGGATATTTACAGCTTTCCTGAACTGAGATTCTTTACCTGTAAGTTGCTTCACATGGTTGTCAATCACCATTTTAAGGTAGTCAACCCTCAATGAATGTAGGCTGTTAATAATTTTGACCAGGGTTTTTGCCTGAGAATGTGCATAATTTCAAGTACATTAATACTCTACATTTCAGAGTGACCTAAACAAATTGGAGGATTGGGCCAAAAGGAATCTCATGAGGTTCAACAAGGACAAGTGCAAAGTCTTGCACTTAGGATGGAACAGTCCCATGCACCAATACAGACTGGGGGCTGACTGGCTGGGCAGCAGCTCTGCAGAAAAGGACCTAGGGGACAGTGGAAAATAAGCTGAATATGAGCCAGCAGTGTGCCCTTGTTGCCAAGAAGGCTAACAGCATACTGGGTTGCATTGGTAGGTGTGTTGCCAGCAGGTCAAGGGAAGTGATTATTCAGCACTGGTGAGGCCACATCTGGAGTACGATATTCAGTTTTGGGCCCCCCGCTACAGAAAGGATGTGGACAAATTGGAGAGAGGCCAGTGGAGGGCACCAAAAATGGTGAGGGGGCTGGGGCACATGAGTTATGGGGACAGGCTGAGGGAACTGGGTTTATTTAGTCTAGAAAAGAGAAGGCTGAGGTGGGATTTAATAGCAGCCTTCAACTACCTGAAGCGGGGTTCAAAAGAGGATGGAGCTAGGCTGTTTTCAGTGGTGGCAGATGACAGCACAAGGAACAATGATTTCAAATTGCAGCAAGGGAAGTTTAGATTAGATATTAGGAAGAATTTTCTTACTAGGAGGGTAGTAAAGCACTGGAACAGATTACCCAGAGAGGCGGTGGAATCTCTATCCTTGGAGGTTTTCAAGACCCAGCTAGACAAAGCTTCAGCTGGGATGATTTAGTTGGGGGTGCTCCTGCTTTGAGCAGAGGTTGAACTAAATGCCCTCCTGAGATCCCTTCCAACCCTAATTTTCTATGATTCTAATAGTCCCAGGGAAATCAGTTCTTGAAGTTAGACACATACTTAG